ACGAGGAGGAGGAGGAGACGAGGAGGAGACGAGGAGGAGACGAGGAGGAGAGGGAGACGAGGAGGAGACGAGGAGGAGACGAGGAGGAGACGAGGAGGAGGAGACGAGGAGGAGACGAGGAGGAGGAGACGAGAGGAGGAGACGAGGAGGAGGAGACGAGACACAAACGATCCTCAAAAACATTTACAACAAAATCAATAAACAACAAACGCTCAAAGCAAAATCCCTGAGTCACAAACACAGACGCTCAATACACCTGATACAGACCTGGTTTAGACCTGGTTTAGACCTGGTTTAGTCCTGGTTTAGTCCTGGTTTAGTCCTGGTTTAGACCTGGTTTAGACCTGGTTTAGTCCTGGTTTAGTCCTGGTTTAGACCTGGTTTAGTCCTGGTTTTAGTCCTGGTTTAGACCTGGTTTAGACCTGGTTTAGACCTGGTTTAGACCTGGTTTAGACCTGGTTTAGACCTGGTTTAGTCCTGGTTTAGACCTGGTTTAGACCTGGTTTAGACCTGGTTTAGTCCTGGTTTAGACCTGGTTTAGACCTGGTTTAGTCCTGGTTTAGTAGTCCTGGTTTAGTCCCTGGTTTAGACCTGGTTTAGACCTGGTTTAGACCTGGTTTAGACCTGGTTTAGTCCTGGTTTAGACCTGGTTTAGACCTGGTTAGACCTTTACCTGGTTTAGTCCTGGTTTAGACCTGGTTTAGACCTGGTTTAGACCTGGTTTAGACCTGGTTTAGTCCTGGTTTAGTCCTGGTTTAGTCCTGGTTTAGTCCTGGTTTAGACCTGGTTTAGTCCTGGTTTAGTCCTGGTTTAGTGGTTTAGACTGGTTTAGTCCTGGTTTAGTCCTGGTTTAGTCCTGGTTTAGACCTGGGTTCAGTCCTGGTTCAGACCTGGTTCAGACCTGGTTCAGACCCTGGTTTAGACCCAGTTTAGACCTGGTTCAGTCCTGGTTCAGTCCTGGTTCAGTCCTGGTTTAGTTCTGGTTTAGTTCTGGTTTAGTCCTGGTTCAGTGGTTTAGTCCTGGTTTAGTCCTGGTTTAGACCTGGTTTAGACCTGGTTTAGTCCTGGTTTTAGTCCTGGTTTACCTGGTTTAGACCTGGTTTAGTCCTGGTTTAGTCCTGGTTTAGTCCTGGTTTAGACCTGGTTTAGACCTGGTTTAGTCCTGGTTTAGACCTGGTTTAGTCCTGGTTTAGTCCTGGTTTAGACCGGGTTCAGTCCTGGTTCAGACCTGGTTCAGACCTGGTTCAGACCTGGTTTAGACCTGGTTTAGACCTGGTTCAGTCCTGGTTCAGTCCTGGTTCAGTCCTGGTTTAGTTCTGGTTTAGTCCTGGTTTAGTCCTGGTTCAGTCCTGGTTTAGTTCTGGTTTAGACCTGGTTCAGTTCTGGTTGATACACCTCACTGGGGGTGTTCTACATGTATGTCTATGGTGGAATGTTGAGCAGTTTCCATGAAGACACAAATTATTTATAAATTTTGATTTTAAAAAGTATGTGTCAGTTTTTGCGTCTCCGGACATGAGAGGAACAGGAGAGGAACACGAGAGGAACACGAGAGGAACAGGAGAGGAACACGAGAGAACAGGAGAGAACACGAGAGGAACACGAGAGGAACAGGAGAGGAACACGAGAGAAACACGAGAGGAACACGAGAGAAACAGGAGAGAAACACGAGAGGAACACGAGAGGAACACGAGAGAAACACGAGAGGAACACGAGAGGAACACGAGAGGAACACGAGAGAAACACGAGAGAACACGAGAGGAACACGAGAGGAACACGAGAGGAACACGAGAGGAACACGAGAGAAACACGAGAGGAACACAAGAGGAACACGAGAGGAACACGAGAGGAACACGAGAGAAACACGAGAGGAACACGAGAGAACAGAGAGAACACGAGAGAACACGAGAGGAACACGAGAGGAACACGAGAGGAGGAACAAGAGAACAGGAGAGGAACAGAGAAACACGAGAGGAACACAGAGAGAGAGGAACACGAGAGGAACAGGAGAGAACACAGAGGAAACAGAGGAACAGAGAGGAACACGAGAGGAACAGGAGAGAAAAACACGAGAGGAACACGAGAGAAACACGAGAGGAACACAAGAGGAACACGAGAGGAACACGAGAGGAACAGGAGAGAAACATGAGAGGAACACAAGAGGAACAGGAGAGGAACACGAGAGGAACAGGAGAGAAACACGAGAGGAACACGAGAGGAACAGGAGAGGAACACGAGAGAAACACGAGAGGAACACGAGAGAACGAACGAGAGGAACACGAGAGGAACAGGAGAGGAACACGAGAGGAACAGGAGAGAAACACGAGAGGAACACGAGAGAAACACGAGAGGAACACGAGAGGAACAGGAGAGAAACACGAGAGGAACACAAGAGGAACACGAGAGGAACACGAGAGGAACAGGAGAGGAACACGAGAGGAACAGAGAGAAACACGAGAGGAACATGAGAGAACACGAGAGGAACAGGAGAGGAACACGAGAGGAACACGAGAGAAACACGAGAGGAACAGGAGAGAAACACGAGAGGAACACGAGAGGAACAGGAGAGAAACATGAGAGGAACACGAGAGAACACGAGAGGAACAGGAGAGGAACACGAGAGAAACACGAGAGGAACAGGAGAGGAACACGAGAGGAACACGAGAGGAACGAGACACGAGAGAGGAAACAGAGAGGAAACACGAGAGGAACACAGAGAACACGAGAGGAACAGGAGAGGAACACGAGAGGAACACTGAGAGAAACACGAGAGAAACAGAGAGGAACACGAGAGGAACACGAGAGGAACAGGAGAGGAACAAGAGAGAACACGAGAGGAACAGGCGAGAGGAACGGAGAGAACAGGAGAGAGAGAACAGAGAGGAACATGAGAGGAACACGAGAGGAACAGGAGAGGAACACGAGAGAGAAACACGAGAGAGGAACACGAGAGGAACACGAGAGGAACAGGAAAGGAACAGGAGAGGAACACAGAGGAACACACGAGAGGAAACAGGAGAGGAACACAGAAGAGGAACAGGAGACAAAGGAACACGAGAGGAACACGAAGAGAAACACGAGAGGAACAGGAGAGGAACATGAGAGAGGAACACGAGAGGAACAGGAGAGGAACACGAGAGAAACACGAGAGGAACACGAGAGGAACATGAGAGGAACAGGAGAGGAACACAAGAGGAACACGAGAGGAACACGAGAGGAACACGAGAGGAACACGAGAGGAACACGAGAGGAACACGAGAGGAACAGGAGAGGAACAGGAGAGGAACACAAGAGGAACACGAGAGGAACAGGAGAGGAACACGAGAGGAACAGAGAAAACACGAGAGGAACACGAGAGAGAGAAACACAAGAGGAACAGGAGAGGAAACAGAGGACACGAGAGGAACACGAGAGGAACAGAGAGAACAGGAGAGGAACACAGAGGAACACCAGAGGAAACACGAGAGGAACACGAGAGGAACACGAGAGGAACAGAGAGGAACGACGAGAGAGGAACACGAGAGAACAGAGAGGAGAGGAAACAGAGGAGAGAGAACACGAGAGGAAACACGAGAGGAACACGGAGAGGAACACGAGAGGAGGAACAGGAGAGGAACACAGAGAGAGAGGAACACGAGAGGAACACGAGAGGAACAGAGAGACACGAGAGGAACACGAGAGGAACACGAGAGGAACAGAGAGGAACACGAGAGAACACACGAGAGAAACACGAGAGGAACAGGAGAGGAACACAGAGAGGAAACAGGAGAGGAACATGAGAGGAACACGAGAGAAACACGAGAGGAACAGAGAGAGAGAACACGAGAGGAACACGAGAGAAACAGAGAGGACACGAGAGGAAGGAACAGAGAAACACGAGAGGAACACGAGAGGAACACGAGAGGAACGAGAGGAACACAGAGAGGAACAGAGAGGAACAGGAGAGGAACACGAGAGAACAGAACAGGAGAGGAACACGAGAGAGGAACAGAGGAACACGACGAAGAGGAACACGAGAGGAAACACGAGAGGAACACGAGAGGAACAGAGAGGAACAGAGAGGAACACGAGAGGAACAGGAGAGGAACACGAGAGGAACACGAGAGAACACGAGAGGAACAGAGGAACGAGAGGAACAGAGAGGAGAGAAACAGAGAGGAAACAGGAGGAGGAACAGAGAGGAACACGAGAGAAAACAGAGGAGAGGAACACGAGAGAAAGAGGACACGAGAGGAACACGAGAGGAACACTGAGAGAACACAGGAGAGGAACAGGAGAGGAACACGAGAGGAAACGAGAGAGGAGAAAACAGAGAGAGGAACACGAGAGGAACACGAGAGGAACACGAGAGGAACAGGAGAGGAACACGAGAGGAACACGAGAGGAACAGGAGAGGAACACGAGAGGAACACGAGAGGAACACGAGAGGAACAGGAGAGGAACACGAGAGGAACACGAGAGGAACACGAGAGGAACACGAGAGGAAACAGAGAGAGAGGAACAGGAGAGGAACGAGAGGAACGAGAGGAACGCGAGAGGAACAGAGGAACGAGAGGAACAGGAGAGGAACAGGAGAGGAACACAGAGGAACAGGAAGGAACAGAGAGGACACGAGAGAAAAGAGAGGAAACACGAAGAGAACACGAGAGAAACACGAGAGGAACACGAGAGGAACACGAGAGAAACGAGAGGAACACGAGAGGAACACGAGAGGAACACGAGAGAAACACGAGAGGAACAACACGAGAGGAACACGATAGGAACACGAGAGGAACACGCGAGGAACGAGAGGAACACGAGAGGAACACGAGAGGAACACGGAGAGGAACGAGAGAGAGAACACGAGGAGAGAGAGAACACTGAGAGGAAAGAGAGAGAGGAACACAGAGAGGAAACAGAGAGGAACAGAGGAACACGAGAGAACAGAAGAGGAACAGAGAGGAACAGAGAGGACAGAGGAACAGGAGAAGGAACACGAGAGGAACACGAGAGAAACAGAGAGGAACACAGAGGAACACGAGAGGAACACGAGAGGAGAGAAACATGAGAGGAACAGGAGAGGAACACGAGAGAACACGAGAGGAAGCGAGAGGAACGTGAGAGGAACGCGAGAGGAACAGGAGAGGAACACGAGAGGAACGTGAGAGGAACGTGAAGAACGGAGACAGAGAGGAACACGAGAGGAACACGAGAGGAACACGAGAGAACACGAGAGGAACACGAGGAACGAGAGGAACACGAGAGGAACACGAGAGGAACACGAGAGAAACACGAGAGAAACACGAGAGGAACACGAGAGGAACACGAAAGGAACACGAGAACACACGAGGAACACGAGAGGAACACAAGAGAGGAACACGAGAGGAACACGAGAGGAGAGGACAGGAGAGGAACAGGAGAGGAACACACGAGAGAACACGAGAGAAACACGAGAGGACACGAGAGGAACATGAGAGGAACACGAGAGGAACACGAGAGGAACGTGAGAGGAACGCGAGAGGAACAGGAGAGGAACACGAGAGGAACACGAGAGGAACACGAGAGGAACACGAGAGGAACAGGAAAGGAACAGAGAGGAACAGAGAGAGGACAAACAGAGAGGAACACGAGAGGAAACACGAGAGGAACACGAGAGGAACAGGAGAGGAACACGAGAGGAACACGAGAGGAACACGAGAGGAACAGAGAGGAACACGAGAGGAACACGAGAGAAACAGGGAGGAACGCGAGAGGAACACGAGAGGAACACGAGAGAAACACGAGAGGAACAGGAGAGGAACACGAGAGGAACGTGAGAGGAACACGAGAGGAACACGAGAGAAACAGGAGAGGAACAGGAGAGGAACACGAGAGGAACACGAGAGGAACACGAGAGGAACGTGAGAGGAACGCGAGAGGAACACGAGAGGAACAGGAGAGGAACACGAGAGGAACACGAGAGGAACAGGAGACAAACACGAGAGGAACACGAGAGGAACACGAGAGGAACAGGAGAGGAACGAGAGGAACAGCGAGAGGAACACGAGAGGAACACAGGAGGAACGAGAGGAACAGGAGAGGAACAGGAGAGGAACACGAGAGGAACACGAGAGGAACACGAGAGGAACAGGAGAGGAACACGAGAGGACGAGAGGAAACAGAGGAACAGGGAACGGAGAACACGAGAGGAACAGAGAGGAACAGGACACAGAGGAACAGGAGAGGAACAGGAGAGGAACAGGAGAGGAACACGAGAGGAACAGGAGAGGAACGTGAGAGGAGAACGCGAGAGGAACAGGAGAGGAACACGAGAGGAACGTGAGAGGAACGCGAGAGGAACAGGAGAGGAACACGAGGGGAACAGGAGAGGAACACGAGAGGAACAGGAGAGGAACCCCCCCCCCCCCAGGTGTGGGTGAAGGTTCTGCACCTGGACCCGGCGGCGACTCTGGTGCCGGCGGCGTTGAAGGTGACGTGGGTGGCGTTGGTGGTGAAGCGCGTCAGGATCCCGTCGGGTTCTCCCTCCGGAAACGTGTGGAGCTGCACCGCGTTACTGGAGCTCGCCGTCGCCAAACGCCCGCCCTGAGGAGACACGCGCACGTTAGAGGGACACGGCGAGAACGGAGAGACGCGTCGGGAGCAGGAGGTTCTGACCTTCAGGCTGAGGGAGTAGGCCTTCTCCCCCACGGTGATGAATCGCGGGTCGTCGTCGTCCAAACCCTCCCAGATCCGAACGTCTCCGTCGCTTCCACACGTCACGATGAACCTGAGGAGAACATCAGAGGAACATGAGAGGAACACCAGCGGAACACGAGAGAAGAACATCAGAGGAACACGAGAGAGGAACATCAGAGGAACATCAGAGGAACACCAGAGGAACACGAGAGAAGAACATCAGAGGAACACCAGAGGAACATCAGAGGAATATCAGAGGAACGTCAGAGGAGAACATGAGGAGAACATGAGAGGAACATGAGAGGAACACGAGAAGAACACGAGAGGAGAACATCAGAGGAACATGAGAGGAACACCAGTGGAACACGAGAGAAGAACATCAGAGGAACACGAGAGAGGAACATCAGAGAGGAACATCAGAGGAACATCAGAGGAACACGAGAGAAGAACATCAGAGGAACACGAGAGAGGAACATCAGAGGAACACGAGAGAGGAACATCAGAGGAACATCAGAGGAACACGAGAGAAGAACATCAGAGGAACACCAGAGGAACACCAGAGGAACACCAGAGGAACACGAGAGAAGAACATCAGAGGAACACCAGAGGAACATCAGAGGAATATCAGAGGAACGTCAGAGGAGAACATGAGGAGAACATGAAAGGAACATGAGAGAAACATGAGAGGAGAACATGAGGAGAACATGAGAGGAACATGAGAGGAACACGAGAAGAACACGAGAGGAGAACATCAGAGGAACATGAGAGGAACATGAGAGGAGAACATGAGAGGAACATGAGAGGAACAGGAGAGGAGAACATCAGAGGAACATCAGAAGAACACGAGAGAAGAACATCAGAGGAACACGAGAGAAGAACATCAGAGGAACACCAGAGGAACACGAGAGAAGAACATCAGAGGAACACCAGAGGAACATCAGAGGAATATCAGAGGAACGTCAGAGGAGAACATGAGGAGAACATGAGAGGAACATGAGAGGAACACGAGAAGAACACGAGAGGAGAACATCAGAGGAACATGAGAGGAACATGAGAGGAACATGAGAGGAACATGAGAGGAACAGGAGAGGAGAACATCAGAGGAACATCAGAAGAACACGAGAGGAACACGAGAGGAACATGAGAGGAACACCAGAGGAACACGAGAGGAACATGAGAGGAACATGAGAGGAGAACATGAGAGGAGAACATGAGGAAAACACCAGAGGAACATGAGGAGAACACCAGAGGAACATGAGAGGAACATGAGAGGAGAACATGAGAGGAACATGAGGAGAACACCAGAGGAACATGAGAGGAACATGAGGAGAACACCAGAGGAACATGAGAGGAACATGAGAGGAACATGAGAGGAGAACATGAGAGGAACATGAGGAGAACACCAGAGGAACAGAGAATGAGTGAGAGAGACAGAGAAACACCAGAGGAACGTGAGAGGAACATGAGAGGAACATGAGGAGAACACCAAAGGAACGTGAGAGGAACATGAGGAGAACACCAGAGGAATGTGAGAGGAACATGAGAGGAACATGAGGAGAACACCAGAGGAACATGAGGAGAACACCAGAGGAACATGAGAGGAACATGAGGAGAACACCAGAGGAACATGAGGAGAACACCAGAGGAACATGAGAGGAACATGAGGAGAACACCAGAGGAACATGAGGAGAACAAGAGGAACATGAGGAGAACACCAGAGGAACATGAGAGGAACATGAGGAGAACACCAGAGGAACATGAGAGGAACATGAGGAGAACACCAGAGGAACGTGAGGAGGAACATGAGGAGAACACCAGAGGAACATGAGGAGAACACCAGAGGAACATGAGAGGAACATGAGGAGAACACCAGAGGAACATGAGAGGAACATGAGAGAGAACAGAGTGAGAGGAACATGAGAGAACACCAGAGGAACATGAGAGGAACATGAGGAGAACACCAGAGGAACATGAGAGGAACATGAGGAGAACACCAGAGGAACATGAGAGGAACATGAGGAGAACACCAGAGGAACATGAGGAGAACACCAGAGGAACGTGAGGAGAACACCAGAGGAACATGAGGAGAAGAACATGAGAGGAACATGAGGAGAACACCAGAGGAACATGAGAGGAACATGAGGAGAACACCAGAGGAACATGAGAGGAACATGAGGAGAACACCAGAGGAACATGAGAGGAACATGAGGAGAACACCAGAGGAACATGAGAGGAACATGAGGAGAACACCAGAGGAACGTGAGAGGACCAGTATCAGCTCATGATGAAGGTCTCGTGGAGTTTGTCCGTGTGTGTGTTGCCGTAGTGACGAGTGTTGACTCTGAGCACGTGCAGAACAAATCACCAGGTAAATCCTGAGGAATAACAGGGGGGTGCTGTGCATGTGTGTGCGTGGCAGAGAGTCGTATCTAAACAGGTGAAGTGTAGTGGAGACTCACCCGCCCGTGTGGTCGAAGCAGACCTCAGTGTGGCCCTCAGAGTGTCCATAACGCATCGGCTTCTTCTCACACGGCATCTTCACCAAAACTACAACAACAACAACAACAAGGTTAAAGCTCCACTCTGTCACTTTCCTGCTCGTCTCTATGGAAACGTGATTGTTTTGTCTGGATCAGATCGTCACATGTGGCTCTTTCCTCCTCCTGCTGTGGCTCCTGAGACTGTGGAAAATAAATAATGACTCTTTAATTACAATTTTATTTATATTTTTAGTTTGTTTGTTTTTAAATATATTTCTACATTTGTGGAGAAAGGGAATCTTGAAACTTTAAAATAAAATGTTTTTAATATTTTTGTGTCAGAGGCTCAGTGTGCTGCAGAGTTTTCCTCGTTTCACACTCAGAGTGTTTTTCGTGTGGGAGACGCTCCAAACCTCGGAGTTAAATCTGCTCCATTCTGGAAAAGTCATTATCACCATTTTGGCCAATATTGAAATCATGATTAGCAGCATTTTTTTGTTACACGATGCATTTATTCAAAATTTCTCTCTTTTAAAAAAACAACAACACTTTGTTATTGATAATTTAAGCAAAACTTTAAAACTGAAAATAAATTCAGGCTCCAAATCTGCACCTCAGAGCAGTTTTCTGAAGTACACAACATCAAATGAACCAAATAAACTTTGAACAGGAAATAAGACAGAAAAACTGATATGTGTCCAAAATAAACTCTATATCCAACTGTTCTACAAACTCTAGATTTAAAATATAAAATAAATAAACTTATTTATATAAATATTAGTGCTGTCATGCGATTAAAAAAATTGAGAGATTAATTAATTATGATCTGTAATTAATTCATCGAATTAATCTCTTTTAATCTCACCTAAAAATTGCTGAGAAAAGCTTCAATTTGAGGTATTTTCATTTAAATTCATTATTACATTATTGTGGCAGATCAAAAGACTGATATAGAACAAAAAAAGTGACTTTATAAAGTCATTTATCGTTTAACAAATCTCTCCAAATTGGCTGTTGAGCCCAAGTCTCCATGAATAAGAAACTGTTTGTTGTAAAGTAACAAAGACGAGGAAATCTGAACATAATAACTTTTGTCGACTTAAAGACAATAAAAAGTCCAGTCTTTCCTTAACCAGATTAAAATATATTATTGATAGAGAAATGCTTTATATATGAGATCACTGGTTTTAGTCCTGGTTTAGACCTGCTTTAGTCCTACTTTAGTCCTAGTTTAGTCCTGGAATGGGTTAGTCCTGGTTTTAGTTCTGGTGTTAGTTCTGGTTTAGACCTGGTTTTAGTTCTGGTTTTAGTCCTGGACTGGGTTAGTCCCGGTTTTAGTCTTGGTGTTAGTTCTGGTTTAGACCTGGTTTAGACCTGGTTTAGACCTGGTTTAGACCTGGTTTAGACCTTGTTTTAGTTCTGGTTTTAGTTCTGGACTGGGTTAGTCCCGGTTTTAGTCTTGGTGTTAGTTCTGGTTTAGAGGCGCACAGGAGGAAGCGGTTTACGCAGCGGTTTACGCAGCGGTTTAGCGTACGCGGCGCACGGGAGCAGGTCGGTGTCGGTGTTTTCCCTGTGCACTGCTGCCTCTGTTCTACTGGCTCTTCGACCTCGTCCATTGTGCCTGACGCCACCAACGTGAACATGACGTTTACGTCGCTCTTACTGCGCGCGTTTTGTGTGGGTTTCCGGCAATAAGTGGAATTACCGAAATAAAAAAATGTATAAATGTGTTTTTGTGTGTGTGTCTGTTGTCCCAACAACACATAAAAACAGATTTTATAATAAAGCAACTCACATACAGAAACAGTAAAGTTAGAGATTAAAAATGAGATTAACGCGATTAAAAAACATAACGCGCTAAATATGACTGTAATTAATTAATCGCAATTAACGCGATAATTTGACACCCCTAATAAAAATATCCCAAAAGAAACTTTATTAAGCTTTAAATTAGACATGTCCAAAGTATGGCCCGTGGGCCAAATGCCGCCCTCAGACAAATTTTTCTTGGCCCTCAGGCTTCCAGGAGAATTGGCCCAAATTACTTTGCATCACTGAAAAATGTACTTTGTTTTTTTGGGGGGGAAGGGGGGGAATTTACCTTGATAAAGCCAATATTTAATATTTAGTGTTTGGTTTTAAGGATCTTAGCGTAAATAAAGTCTGACTGTTCATTTTAACGTGATAAACATGCACAGATTCAGTTATTCTCTGTACTGAGCGTCAGTCTGTGGCCCTCGATCGTCCCTCTGCTTCTTCTGTGTTTAGATTTGTGGCCCTGGATGAAAAAAGTTTGGACCCCCCTGTTTTAAATCATTTCAACTCAATTATACGAGAAAAACATGATGACATCACGTCCGGGGCGGCAGCCATTTTGGTCGGCAAAAATTGTTTATATTTACAAGTCAATGCCGACGCCGAAGCCGACGGCGTCATGATCAGCAGGTCTCAGCGACTTTTAACTTTTCAAAGTAAAGTTTTTGATCCTGAACATTCAGAGACTTAGAGTAAAACGGTGAGGTCAGATCAAAACTATTAAATGCAAAACCTAAACATAACACACCTGTCAACACACCTGTCAACACAAACGAGCGACACCTCTCACTTTTTGCCGAGCAGCCACTGAGCACGTGCAGAAAACCTGAAGTTTTCTCCTTCGTGAGTTTGAAAATCATTTGACACATGAAAATCGAAATCGTGATAAAAATTCGATGAAGTGCACAGACTTACTCTGAGTATTTAAGGTTACCGACACCAGGTCTAGAAAGTCCCACAGTATGGCATTAAACTCATCTATCTCAGGCCAAGTTACAGGTCAGATCTGTGGAGAGGCAAGCACACTCAATGAAGGAATGCAGGTTTTTTTATGTCCTATTTTTGAGCAGTAAAACACCTGTAATTAAATAAATGCTACACAAATGAGTTTAGTGCCACAGTGAGAAACCAGAAAAGTTCCACAGTGCAGCTTTAACTGTAAATATCACACAAATACACGGAAAAATGTCCAGATATAAACTCCTGCTTTATGATCTAAACATTTAAGAGAGAAACAGAGGTGAATGTGAAGCTGTGTAAAACAAACTCTAAACATTTATCTAGTCTTGGTTCTAAAATAAAACTTATAAAAGTGTTTCAGATCAGATGTGACCGATCCCGTTTGTCACAGAACAAAACACAAACCTGATAAACTCTCAAACTGTTACGGCTCAGAATCTCACCTCACCCGCCAATCCGCGCTGAAACACGATCAACTCTGACCCTGGCGTGACTTTACTCCGTGTTTTCTGTAGATTTCGTGAGTTTTTGTTGATTTTTTGTTGAGTTTTTGAGGCTCTTACGGCTCCGGCTCCGCTCCACAAACTCCCGCGCTCACACGTAAACACCGGACGTGACGCACAGAACGTCCCCACGCCACGCACTGACGCAAACACGCACAGGAAGTTTTGGTCCGGCTCCATGCTAGTGCTAATGCTAACATGCTAAGATGCTAACGCGGTTGTTTCGTTGATCCGAACCAGAACCAGAAATAAGACCGAACCAGGACTAAACCAGGACTAAACCAGGACCAAGACCGAACCAGGACTAAACCAGGTCTGCTCCAGGTCTGGTCCAGGTCTGGTCCAGGTCTGGGTCATGGAGTCTGGAGCTGCTGACGAGGAGCCGGAGCCGATCACGTTGAAGTCGGTGAAGGACTTCAGGTAGGTCCTGATGAAGATGCTCTGGTCTCTCAGGTTTTTCTTCAGACTTTGGTCCAAACATGTTTCCCTGAGCAGAGACCGAGACCGAAACCAAGACTAGACCAAGACCAAGACTCAGACCTTGTGTCTCTGTCCTGCAGATTTATACAAAACCAGTGATTAGTCCCAGTTTATACAGAAATGTCTCAGGTCCCAGGATTTTCTCCAGATGAAGTGTTTGTGTCAAATATAAATATATAAATATAATATATATAAATATAAATATTCTTGTTGTGTTTGTGTTTTCATGATGAGATTAGACGAGTTTTTACACCAGAGCTGGAGACTTGAACGTTGTGACTTGGACTCGACTCAGACGTGAGAAAAACTCGATGTTTCTCCTAAAAAAAATGTTTTTATAAAAGACTTTTCTCTTTACAGTTGATAAATGCAGCACTGAATTTTACAGGAACAAACTGGAACATGTTTCTCCCACTTCTGTTTGTACTTTGGATGGAACTGAAGTACTGAGATACTCAAAAGTACTACAGTAATACAGTAATACAACAGTAATACTACAGTACAACACAGTAGAGTGCAGTAAAACGGAACTACACAGAACATGATCCTTTATGATAAAATATCTGTTATTTATCTCTTTTAAATCTGAATTCTTTCTGTTTTGATCATCATGATTCACTCAGACTCGTCAAGAAATTTAAAAAGGAAAAAAATTGTATTTCTACAATTCTTAAATAAATACTCTTATATAAATATACAGTTTTAAAGTACAGTTTAGTTTAAAGCTCAAAGCAAACGACTCGGACTCAGACTCGGATTTATGGACCAGTGACTCGAGACTTGACTTGGACTTGTCCGTATTTGACTCAGGACTTGACTCAGACTTGGGGCCAAAGACTTGAGACTCACAAAACAACGACTTGCTCCCACCTCAGGTCTGTACTAGTATTTGAGTATTTATGTAGTATCTGAGTACCTGAGTGTGTACTCTAGTATCTGAGTACCTGAGTGTGTACTCTAGTATCTGAGTACCTGAGTGTGTACTCTAGTATCTGAGTACCTGAGTGTGTACTCTAGTATCTGAGTACCTGAGTGTGTACTCTAGTATCTGAGTACCTGAGTGTGTACTCTAGTATCTGAGTACCTGAGTGTGTACTCTGAGTATGAGTAGTGTACTCTAGTATCTGAGTACCTGAGTGTGTACTCTAGTATCTGAGTACCTGAGTGTGTACTCTAGTATCTGAGTACTCTAGTATCTGAGTACCTGAGTGTGTACTCTAGTATCTGAGTACCTGAGTGTGTACTCTAGTATCTGAGTACCTGAGTGTGTACTCTAGTATCTGAGTACCTGAGTGTGTACTCTAGTATCTGAGTACCTGAGTGTGTACTCTAGTATCTGAGTACATGAGTGTGTACTCTAGTATCTGAGTACCTGAGTGTGTACTCTAGTATCTGAGTACCTGAGTGTGTACTCTAGTATCTGAGTACTGGTGGTGTTGTGTGTGCAGGTGGTTCTCGGTGCCTCAGAGCGACCGTCTCGGCGGCTGTAGGAGCGTACGTGAGTTTGAGAAGTTGAACCGTATCGGCGAGGGGACGTACGGCATCGTGTACCGCGCCAGGGACACCGTGTCCGGAGACATCGTGGCGCTGAAGAAGGTTCGCATGGACAAAGAGAAGGACGGGATCCCCATCAGCAGCCTGAGGGAGATCACCGTGCTCCTGGGCCTCACGCACCCCAACGTGGTGGAGCTCAGGGAGGTGGTGGTGGGGTCGCAGCTCCAGAGCCTGTTCCTGGTGATGGGCTACTGCGAGCAGGACCTGGCGTCTCTGCTGGAGAACATGCAGAGCCCGTTCTCCGAGGCTCAGGTCAAATGTATCGTCCTGCAGCTTCTGCGCGGGCTTCAGTTCCTCCACCACAACTTCATCATCCACCGAGACCTGAAGGTGTCCAACCTGCTCATGACGGACAAAGGCCAGGTGAAGATCGCGGACTTCGGGTTGGCGCGCACCTACGGGCTCCCGCAGCAGCCCATGACGCCGCGCGTGGTGACGCTGTGGTACCGCGCGCCGGAGCTGCTGCTGGGCTCCACGTCTCAGAGCACGGCCCTGGACATGTGGGCCGTGGGCTGCATCCTGGCCGAGCTCCTCCTGCACAAACCTCTGCTCCCCGGAGCGTCTGGAGATCCAGCAGTTGGACCTGATCGTGCAGCTCCTGGGTTCTCCCAACGACTCCATCTGGCCCGGCTTCTCGCAGCTGCCTCTGGTGGGGCAGTACAGCCTGAGGAAGCAGCCGTACAATAACCTGAAGAGCCGCTTCTCGTGGCTCTCGGAGGCCGGACACCGTCTGCTCAACACTCTGTTCATGTACCAGCCCCAGCGCCGCGCCTCCGCCGCAGACTGTCTCCAGAGCTCCTACTTTAAAGAGAAACCTCTGCCCTGTGAACCCGAGCTCATGCCCACCTTCCCCCACCACCGCAACAAACGCTCCGCCCCGCCGCCGCCAGAAGGGGGCGGCAGACGCTCCGGAGCCGGGCCGGAGGGCAGCAAGAGGACCAAGGTCTGAGTCTGAGCCGCGGGACAGAGACTTGAACATAAAGAAACGTACAGACCTGTCACGATCACACACACAACTGAAACTAACATACGTCAGAAAACTAAAGCTGGATGATTATTATTTTTGATTTTTTTAGTACTTTTAAAAGGGAAATTCTCCTGCATGTGACCTGTTCTTCAGGAGCAGTGGCACACGGGGCCTGGGGACCGGCTCCATGATCTTGTTTTGGTCTGGACTCAGCTGGAGGATTTTTCCTCTGGTGCAGGTTTTTGTTTGACGGAAGAAACTCAAATGATTTTACATTTAAAATGTTTAGAAACACAAACAGAATTAAACCTTTTGTCTGTAATGAGTCAGGAGTTATTTCCTCTGCAGCTCAGATTTTACCACAGAACTGAAGAATATCTATGTGTATTTCACTGTGTCAAACACTTTGTTTATTGATTTGTTTATGTGTGAAACGTGTAAATGAAGTCTGAAGTTTTACTACAGAAACATCACAGATCCTGGAGTGACTCTGGTGTCTCTGTGTTTGGAGGTTTTGTTGTAGATCTGGAGTCTCTGACCTGCAGCTCCTCCTCAAAGATCTCAGAGGGATTTGTGAATCACACGTGTTGAATAAGTCAAATCTGATGAATTAAAAACCTTTTTCCTTTGCACATGTGTCGTTCTGATGTTGAACTCTGCGTCGATAAATGAATCAGGTTTATGTTTTACAGGCGTCTCGTGTTCTTCAATATTCTCCAGGTCTTGTGACTGATAAAAGCAGCAGCTCTGGTGTTTTTGTTTTGTAGAGCAGCTCACTTCCTGCTGTAGGGCCACAGGAGGTTGCCGGTTTGATTCCCTCTTCACATAAACATCAGTGAGCGTCAGATCCACAGAGACACAGGTTGATGGTGCAATTCCAGCTCCCACACATGAATGATGTCGTGTCCTCAGGCAAGACACTTAACCCCCCCACCTCAGTATGTGTGTGTGTTTGTGTGTGTGTGTGTGTGTGTGTGTGGTTCCTTCTTGTAAAACACTTTGAGCCTGAAGGTGGAAAAGTGCTGTGTAAAACTGTGTCCATTTACAACTCTGATTTGATTTGATTTGATTTCTTTGACTCACACACACACACACACTCACACACACACTCACACACACACACACACACACACACACACTCACACACACTCACACACACACACACCCACACACACTCACACACACACACACACACACACACACACACACTCACACACACACACACACTCACACCGCAAGGCCAGATTATCCACACGCTCCAGTGACTCGGTGTCCAGGGGCACCAGTTGTTCTCGACCAGCAGGGGGCACCACACGACACAAACTTTAAACATATTTTTCAGAAATTTGTGTTGTTCCCTTGAAAATGTGAAACGGTCAAACAGAACTCATCCTAAACACGAATTTCATTATAACAACAATAAAAATAATAATAATACTGAACAAATCCAGATCACACGAACATTCACACACACATTACACACAACAAACACACCAGTTTATGTGTGTGTGTGACAGGGACACAGAGACACACAGAGACACAGAGGGACACAGGCACTGCCGTCTTTATTCTAAATGTTCATGCAGGTCATAAAATATAAATTACATTTCACCTTTTTACTCTTTTCACTTTTTCTTCCATTTTTGTAACTTTTTTTTTGTTGTGTTTTTTTTTTAACAGATTTTTTTATTAAACATAATTATTTGTCAGTTTAATATTGTGGGCCTGCAGTCAATACAAGGCTCTCCAGGGAAATACAAACAACACAACGGCATTTTACAAAAACACTGCAGCAACATGAGGTTAAACAAGACCTGAAACCAACGCCACAAACACCACAAAGTCACAGTTTTTGGAGAATTTAAAACAAATTCTAATGTGGATTTAAAGTTTGATGAAAACTCTTCTATTTACAATTTCTGAGGCACGAACAAGTCCTGGTTCAGACCTGGTTCAGACAGTTTCTTTAGTTTTTGCATGAGACGTTAAAACGAGACATATTTGAGGTTATTTGCTTAAACTTAAAATTGTCTCAAAAATGTTGAAATTATTGCCTTTCAAAAATATCACACAAAAACTGTCAAAATCCCCACAAATTTCAAAATAAAACAGTAAAATCTGAGGCACATTTGGTAAAATTAAGCAAAACTAAAATTCAAAAAGAGGTTACAGAGATACTGAGATGCTCGTATGGTTTCCAGCCATAAAATAAGAGTTATAATTCAACACTAAAAAGCACAAATAAATAAAGATGGAGCAGGTGGCGCTCGTCCCTCTACAAAAATAAAACACTTCGTCAAAAGTAGAAAAAAAACAAAACAAGTATTATTGCTTTCATATTTTGGCTGCTTCAGGACTCTCCTTGGCGAGATTATTTGAATCTTTTCGTCCCGGTTCAGATCAGGGACGGTGATTTATCGTATCGTTGATTTATCGTATCGGTGATTTATCGTATCAGCCAATTTATGGTATCGGCCGTTTGTGGTTTGGGTTTTGGTTCGACCCGTTTAGTTTTGGTTTTTTCGGTCATTCTCGGTGCGTCCTCCAGGTGGAGCCGTTTTCACTCGTGTCGCATTTTTCATTTCCAAATCCTGAAAGTGCTTCATCATTTTAGTGTGAAGGTTTGAACGTTTGTGAGGCCGGATCAGATCTGTGGAGCTCAGCGGGATCACACCCCCCACTCCCTCCTCTGGGTCAGGACGAACGGCTCACGCTCATTTTTACCATCAAAAAAAAGTCTAAATGAAACGTGTGAAAGGTCTGGGTACAAAAGACCTTTTCTTCTATTAGATTTTGAATTTAAAATTTTAAATACAGATGAATTTCTCGCTCTGAGTTTTAACAGTTGAATTCGTGGGCTTAAAAATATTTGCACTGTATTTTTTAATATATAGAATTTGAAACATTTAACACTTAAGAGGCTGTAAATAAAATTAGGGCTGTTCACAAACAAAAATAAGTACAAGTACAAATACCCTACTTTTTTTGTTTTGAAGAATGATTTGGGGCAATGACAATGACAATATTGTTGTTGTTGTTGTGATCATTGTCTTTTTGTATTCTTCATATATATGTATACATATACACATATATATGTATATATATGTGTATATATATATATATATATATATATATATATATATATATATATATATATATATATACACATATATATATATAATATATATAATACATATATATGTATATATATATATATATAATATTATAATATATATATATATATATATATATATATATATATATACATATATATGTATATATATATGTATATATATATATATATATATGTATATATATGTATATATATATGAACAGGATGTGGGAGAAATGGTTATATGTGTATATATACATATATATATATATATATATATATACATATATATATGTGTATATATATATATATATGTATATATATATATATATATATATATATATATATATATATGAACAGGATGTGGGAGAAATGGTTATATGTGTATATATACATATATATATATATATATATATATATATATATATATTATATATATATTTTTTTGTAATGTATCTGTTTTATTTTATTGTGTGTTGATGGTTTAAATATCAAAGTCCATTTCTGCCAGTAAAATCAAATAAAAGCTTCGCAGTTAGTCCGAATTCTGACTTTTAAACTCGTATTTTTGACTTAAAACTCTGAATTCGGACTTTCTGTGAGGCTTTTATTTTTTATTTTCTGGCAGAAATGTGCTTCCATAGTTTAGATTAGAATTTGTATAGAAAATGTTTTTTTCTTAAAGCTTAAAAAATTAAATAAAATCTTAATTTGGAACATTCCAGATAAAGTGACATGAGCGTGAAGACGAGCTCATGTAGACGTGGAAATATAAAACATCTGATTAAACTGTCGTTGTTGTTCTGGACATTCAAAATATTTGAATATCACAAAATAAATAAATAAAATAAAACCTGCAGGGCTCTGGATGTTTGTTAGCACGTAGCACGTAGCACGGAGCCGTTTAAATGAACATAAACATGTGGACCGGACCTGGAGCGACCTGGACCTGGACCAGGGGCAGCGCCCGCTGAGCTCCGTTTGTAACAGTTGGATTTTAAATGTGAGTAAAATGAGGAGGGACCGAGTTAACGAAGAAACAAACCGACACGGATCGTTCGCCGCTCAAATCCACCACACCATTTCCTGTCACGTGACCAGAGGACCGGCCTCTGATTGGATCCACACTTCCCACTTCCTTCCAGTTAAACACCGTCATCCCATTGGTCGGTGCCGCTCCGGACGCTCTGCTCTGATTGGACGATACGATCTCACCTCAATCACCCCAGAAAAAACTGTCCTGGTTTAGTTCTGGTTTAGACCTGGTTTAGACCTGGTTTAGTTCTGGTTTAGACCTGGTTTAGACCTGGTTTAGTCCTGGTTTAGTTCTGGTTTAGACCTGGTTTAGACCTGTTTTAGTCCTGGTTTAGTTCTGGTTTAGACCTGGTTTAGTCCTGGTTTAGACCTGGTTTAGTCCTGGTTTAGTCCTGGTTTAGACCTGGTTTAGACCTGGTTTAGACTTGGTTTAGTCCTGGTTTAGACCTGGTTTAGTTCTGGTTTAGTTCTGGTTTAGTCCTGGTTTAGTTCTGGTTTAGACCTGGTTTAGACCTGGTTTAGACCTGGTTTAGTCCTGGTTTAGACCTGATTTAGTTCTGGTTTAGACCTGGTTTAGTCCTGGTTTAGTCCTGGTTTAGTCCTGGTTTAGATCTGGTTTAGTCCTGGTTTAGTCCTGGTTTAGACCTGGTTTAGTCCACAGCAGGTCCGTCTGCTCTTCCTGATCCGTACCTTCACCCTGAGAGCTGAGCGTCCAAATCCGGCACCGACCGCCTCCTCGCTCCACTTCCTGCTTCCTTCTGATGTCACTTCCTGTCGTACTTCCTCCCTTTCACGTCATCGCCGTCGTTTTTTTCCAACAAACTTTTACCGCGTGGGAATCTTTTGGCACAAACTCCGAGCGGCTCCTCCTCCTCAGAATCCTGCTGCTGTCAACTGTTCCAGATTAGCCCCCCGTAGAACCCTCTAGAACCCCGCAGAACCCTCTAGAACCCCGCAGAACCCTCTAGAACCCCGCAGAACCCTCTAGAACCCCGCAGAACCCTCTAGAACCCCGGAGAAGCCCGCTGTGTTGGTTCCTGTCCTGGCAGTGGGCAGTGGGTGGTTCCGGTGAGCGGGTTTTTGCCGGAGTCCCGTACCTCGACCCGGCGTGTGGGCGGGGCTTGTGTGGGCGGGGCTTGTGTGGGTGGGGCTGGTGTGGGCGGGGCTCATGCGGGTGGTGATGTCATCAGGTCAGAGGTCAGATGGTGGACGTGCGGTCGGCGCCGTCTGCGGGAAAACGTGTAAAATTTTAACGAATGAAAAAGTTTTGATCAGTTTTCCGGGCATAATGTAGTAGTATTTGTAGTATTAGTTGTAGTATTTGTAGTAGTATTTGTAGTAGTATTAGTAGTAGTATTTGTAGTAGTATTTGTAGTATTAGTTGTAGTATTTGTAGTAGTATTTGTAGTAATTTGTAGTAGTATTTGTACTATTAGTAGTAGTATTAGTAGTAGTATTTGTAGTATTAGTAGTAGTATTAGTAGTAGTATTTGTAGTATTTGTAGTAGTATTTGTAGTAGTATTAGTAGTAGTATTTGTAGTATTTGTAGTACCTCCGAGGGCGTGTTCAGTAGTGTTTGTAGTAGTATTTGTAGTAGTATTTGTAGTAGTATTTGTAGTAGTGTTTGTAGTAGTATTTGTAGTAGTAGTAGTGTAGTAGTAGTTGTAGTAGTAGTAGTGTAGTAGTATTTGTAGTAGTATTGTAGTAGTAGTAGTTTGTAGTAGTATTGTGTAGTAGTAGTATATTTGTAGTAGTAGTTGTAGTACCTCCGAGGGCGTGTTCAGTAGTGTGTAGTAGTAGTGTTGTAGTAGTGTTTGTAGTAGTTGTAGTAGTATTTTGTAGTAGTATTTGTAGTATTTGTAGTACCTCCGAGGGCGTGTTCAGTAGTGTTTGTAGTAGTGTTTGTAGTAGTATTTGTTGTAGTATTTGTAGTAGTATTTGTAGTATTTGTAGTACCTCCGAGGGCATGTTCAGTAGTATTTGTAGTAGTGTTTGTAGTAGTATTTGTAGTATTTGTAGTACCTCCGAGGGCGTGTTCAGTAGTGTTTGTAGTAGTGTTTGTAGTAGTATTTGTAGTATTTGTAGTAGTATTTGTAGTAGTATTTGTAGTAGTATTTGTAGTACCTCCGAGGGCGTGTTCAGTAGTGTTTGTAGTAGTGTTTGTAGTAGTGTTTGTAGTAGTATTTGTAGTAGTATTTGTAGTATTTGTAGTACCTCCGAGGGCGTGTTCAGTAGTGTTTGTAGTAGTGTTTGTAGTAGTATTTGTAGTAGTAGTATTGTAGTAAGTGTTGTAGTTTTGTAGTAGTTTGTAGTACTCCGAGGGCATGTTTCAGTAGTAGTTTGTAGTAGTGTTTAGTAGTAGTAGTAGTTTGTAGTAGTATTTGTAGTATGTAGTACCTCCGAGGGCGTGTTCAGTAGTGTTTGTAGTAGTGTTTGTAGTAGTGTTTGTAGTAGTATTTGTAGTAGTATAGTTTTGTAGTATTTTGTAGTACCTCCGAGGGCGTGTTCAGTAGTGTTTGTAGTAGTGTTTTAGTAGTAGTATTTGTAGTAGTATTTGTAGTAGTATTTTTGTAGTACCTCCGAGGCGTGTTCAGTAGTGTTTGTAGTAGTGTTTGTAGTAGTGTTTGTAGTAGTATTTGTAGTAGTATTTGTAGTATTTGTAGTACCTCCGAGGGCGTGTTCAGTAGTGTTTGTAGTAGTGTTTGTAGTAGTGTTTGTAGTAGTATTTGTAGTAGTATTTGTAGTATTTGTAGTACCTCCGAGGGCGTGTTCAGTAGTGTTTGTAGTAGTATTTGTAGTATTTGTAGTACCTCCGAGGGCGTGTTCAGTAGTGTTTGTAGTAGTGTTTGTAGTAGTATTTGTAGTAGTATTTGTAGTATTTGTAGTACCTCCGAGGGCGTGTTCAGTAGTGTTTGTAGTAGTGTTTGTAGTAGTGTTTGTAGTAGTATTTGTAGTAGTATTTGTAGTATTTGTAGTACCTCCGAGGGCGTGTTCAGTAAGTGTTTGTGTAGTAGTAGTTTAGTATTTGTAGTATTTGTAGTTTTGTAGTAGTATTTGTAGTACCTCCGAGGGCGTGTTCAGTAGTGTTTGTAGTAGTGTTTGTAGTAGTATTTGTAGTAGTATTTGTAGTATTTGTAGTACCTCCGAGGGCGTGTTCAGTAGTGTTTGTAGTAGTGTTTGTAGTAGTGTTTGTAGTAGTATTTGTAGTAGTATTTGTAGTATTTGTAGTACCTCCGAGGGCGTGTTCAGTAGTGTTTGTAGTAGTGTTTGTAGTAGTGTTTGTAGTAGTATTTGTAGTAGTATTTGTAGTATTTGTAGTACCTCCGAGGGCGTGTTCAGTCATACTCAGACACAGAGACTCGAGGCGGTTGTTGATGTCGGGCTCCATCGGCGTCGGAGTCGCCTGCAAATCTGAACAAACAAACAAACAAATAAACAAACAAACAAACAAATAAATAAATAAACAAACAAATAAACAAAAGAAAGAATCAAATCAAAATCAAGTCAAATAAAGTGAAAACCAAGATCTGAGAATCACACTCAGACTATTCAGGACTTAGTCCTGGTTCAGTCCAGGTTTAGTCCAGGTTTAGTCCAGGTTTAGTCCTGGTTTAGTCCTGGTTCAGTCCAGGTTTAGTCCTGGTTTAGTCCTGGTTCAGTCCAGGTTCAGTCCAGGTTTAGTCCAGGTTCAGTCCAGGTTTAGTCCAGGTTTAGTCCTGGTTCAGTCCAGGTTTAGTCCAGGTTTAGTCCTGGTTCAGTCCTGGTTCAGTCCTGGTTCAGTCCTGGTTTAGTCCAGGTTTAGTCCTGGTTCAGTCCTGGTTTAGTCCAGGTTTAGTCCAGGTTCAGTCCAGGTTCAGTCCAGGTTTAGTCCAGGTTTAGTCCTGGTTCAGTCCTGGTTTAGTCCAGGTTTAGTCCTGGTTTAGTCCTGGTTCAGTCCTGGTTCAGTCCTGATTTAGTCCTGGTTTTGTGAATGGTTCTTTGTGTTTCCTGTTTCTGTAAAAACACTCAGGTCACTCCAGGTCACAGCTCTTAAAGACACAGTGCACCTAAAATACTACAGTACTACAGTACTACAGTACAACAATACTACTGCTACTACTACAGTACTCCTGGTTGTGTTCCTGGTCCCGGTTCTGGTCCCAGTCGTAGTCGTAGTTGTAGTCGTGGTCATGGTCCTGGTCTCTGGTCTCTGGTCCTGGTCCTGGTCCTGGTCGTGGTCCTGGTCCAGGTCCCAGTCCAGGTCCCGGTTCAGGTCCCGGTCCTAGTCACAGTCGTGGTCCAGGTCCCGGCCCAGGTCGTGGTCCAGGTCCCGGTCCCGGTCCCGGTTCAGGTCCCGGTCCTAGTCACAGTCGTGGTCCAGGTCCCGGTCCAGGTCCAGGTCCTGGTCCAGGTCTTACCCGGGTGCAGCAGGTGCAGGGTGGGGGGCACGGGGAGGGAGCGGGTGCGGGTCACGTTGGGGTGAGTCCGACTCGGGACACTGTTACTGCCCCCGGGGTTAGCGAACCACAGACCCTGAGGAGACAAGAGGTTCAACTCCAGACCCATGAGCAAGGCACTGTTTTCCATGGAGACGTCACAGGTGTGGAATGTTCTGCAGTGAGACTTTACATTTGTTTAATCAGACGCTCTGACTGTGAACCTGTCGCCTCCCCACAGATCTGACCTGGAACACCGTCTGCTTTAGTCTCCATGGAGATAGAAAGGTTTAATGCCACACTGCGGAACATTCCAGACATTCCAACAACATCTCCATGGAGACGAGTGTCTCACCTGTCGTCCGGTGGTGTGTGGGGGGGTCTCACCTGTCGTTCCTGTGGGGGGGGGGTCTCACCTGTCGTCCTGTGTGGGGGGGGTCTCACCTGTCGTCCTGTGTGGTGGGGGGGGTCTCACCTGTCGTCCTGTGTGTGTGGGGGGGGGGTCTCACCTGTCGTCCTGTGTGTGGTGGGGGGTCTCACCTGTCGTCCTGTGTGTGGGGGGGGGTCTCACCTGTCGTCCTGTGGTGGGGGGGGTCTCACCTGTCGTCCTGTGGGGGGGGGTCTCACCTGTCGTCCTGTGTGGGGGGGGTCTCACCTGTCGTCCTGTGTGTGGGGGGGTGTCGTCCTGTGGGGGGGGGGTCTCACCTGTCGTCCTGTGGGGGGGGGTGACTGTCGGTGGGGGGGGTCTCACCTGTCGTCCTGTGGGGTCTCACCTGTCGTCCTGGGTCTCACCTGTCGGGGGGGGTCTCACCTGTCGTCCTGTGGTGTGTCGTGGGGGGGGGGGTCTCACCTGTCGTCCTGTGGGGGTGAGGGGGGGTGTCTCACCTGTCGTCCTGTGGGGGGGGGGGGTCTCACCTGTCGTCCTGTGGGGGGGGTGTCGTCGTCCTGTCGTGGGGTGAGGGGGGGTCTCACCTGTCGTCCTGTGGGGGTGCTGCTCCGGGTCGGGGCCCCCAGCAGGGCTCCGGAGCTGGGCAGGAGTCCGAGTCGGGCCCCTGGGAGACTGCGGGAGGGCATCTGGTACTGTCTGAGGCCCCGACGCACCGAGGGCCCCAGGGACCCCGAGGGAAGAGAGTTGGACTGACCGAAGCCCCGAGCGCTGGGGGGGGGGGGGGGGGTTAGATTTACAGTAGTAGTATTTGAAGTAGTAGCATTTGTAGTAATATTGTAGCACTACTGTAGTAGTGTAGTACTGTACTAGTGTAGTACTGTAGTACTGTACTAGTAGTAGTGTACTAGTGTAGTACTGTAGTACTGTAGTACTGTAGTACTTCCTCCTGTAGCCGTGAGGTCGAGCAGAGTTTTTATATTTAGTGTAAACTATTACAGTAACTGTAGTATTTACAGTAACAGTATTTGCAGTAGGAGTAATAGTATTTGCAGTAGTATGTGTAGTATTTGTAGTAGTAGTGTAGTAGTAGTAGTACTGTAGTACCTCCTCCTGTAGGCCGTCAGGTCCAGCAGAGTTTTTCGGGGGATGGAGCGAAACAGTTTCTGAACCTGCTGCTTCCACGAAACCAAACGCTTCTTCTGAGTCTCAGTGAACGACTGAAACAGAAGAAGAGAGAGAAGAAGAAGAAGAGAGGAGGAGAGAAGAAGAGGAGAAGAGAAGAAGAAGAAGAGAGGAGGAGAGAAGAAGAGAGAGAAGAGAAGAAGAGAGAAGAAGAAGAGAAGAGGAGGAGAGAATTTCACATGATTTGACATAAAGCTGAGGCTGATGGAGGTGAGTGGTGCTGGTCTTTACATATTTACATTTAAATGTTCATTAACATGAGCTGCACTTTTACAAACAAATAAATCAATAAATATGAAAGATACTAAATCAATAAATCAATCAATCAATATGAAGGAGGATTAAAGATGAAGCTGTGTTCAGACGGAGCTTCACACTGTCCAGGCACAGGTCCTGGCCTGTGTTTTTGCGGCGCATCTTCAGCGTCAGTGTCAACGTCAACGTGGTGAGGATCTGGGGTTGAGGTGGTGAGGATCTGGGGTTGAGGTGGTGAGGATCTGGGGTTGAGGTGGTGAGGATCTGGGGTTGAGGTGGTGAGGATCTGGGGTTTGAGGTGGGTGATCTGGGGTTTGAGGTGGGTGAGGATCTGGGGTTGAGGGGGTGAGGATCTGGGGTTGAGGTGGTGAGGATCTGGGGTTGAGGTGGTGAGGATCTGGGGTTGAGGTGGTGAGGATCTGGGGTTGAGGTGGTGAGGATCTGGGGTTGAGGTGGTGAGGATCTGGGGTTGAGGTGGTGAGGATCTGGGGTTGAGGTGGTGCGTCTTGAGCGTTTAGACTGAAGTTGAAAAAACTGCACTTTTAGCGTCGGACGCTCCACGTCAACCAATCAGGGACGAGTATCCAGAGACGTGGAGATGTTATGACCCGGAAGAAAAAGAAGAAGAAAGACTCGAGAACCACAAACAGCAGAACAAGAAACTCTCCAGCGAGTCACGAGAGGAGGATAAATATAAACACAATCTAAAGCCGCTGCAGTCGAGTCGAGACTCTGATGTTTTCTGTCATAAAAACACTCAAGTCTCTGAGTCTGGTCCATCGTTCTGGGAAAAGACGGGAAATGCCCTGGACACACGTCAGGTGTTTTACTCCCGTTGGTCCAAGACTCAGACTCAAAGTGTCCAGGACATTTTTTTGGTCCAAACGCAGCTTCAAAGACGAGGAGAAACACGCCGAGTTTCACCAACAAGTGTTCACAGGTGTTCACGTCTGGGAGGAGCTCACAGGACCTCACAGGACCTCACAGGACCTCACAGAGACCTCACAGGAACCTCACAGGACCTCACAGAGACCTCACAGAACCTCAAGACCTCACAGGAGGACCTCACAGGACCTCACAGAACCTCACAGAACCTCACAGGACCTCAGAGAACCTCAAAGGACCTCACAGAACCTCACAGAACCTCACAGGACCTCAGAGAACCTCACAGACCTCACAGGACCTCACAGGACCTCACAGAACCTCACAGAACCTCACAGAACCTCACAGGACCTCACAGGACCTCACAGGACCTCACAGGACCTCACAGGACCTCACAGGACCTCACAGGACAGAACCTCACAGGACCTCACAGAACCTCACAGGACCTCACAGGACCTCACAGAACCTCACAGGACCTCACAGGACCTCACAGGAACCTCACAGAACCTCAGGACCTCACAGAACCTCACAGAACCTCACAGAACCTCACAGGACCTCACAGGACCTCACAGAGATAAACAGGATGTGTCGGGCCTCACCTCGTGGATCAGACACTTGTCGAGCAGCTGCAGATACAGACTCAGGTTTTCTTCATCAGCGCGAGACACGAGCAGCTGAGTACAAACTGAGAGAGACACGATTAAACCTGATGCCCTCCCTCCTCTTTACCCCTGATGCCCTCCCTCCTCTTTACCCCTGATGCCCTCCCTGACCTTTGCCCTCCCTGACCTTTGCCCTCCCTGACCTTTGCCCTCCCTGACCTTTGCCCATGACGCGGGTGAACTGCGCGGGCAGGTCTCCCTCGGCGATGGCGTTGGCTCCGGACTCCGCCTCCCCGCCGCTGGCCCCGCCCCCGCTCAGGTGCGACAGGTGCGCTCCGGGGGCGGGGCTCGTGTCGCAGGTGAACGGCCTGATGGGAGTGAGGATCATCTGATGAAGCTCCTGAAGAGCCCCACGAAGAGACGCCCCCTCCAGCACCTCCTACAGGACCACAGCGGGAACGCACCGTGAGACCGGCTCTAGTCCTCGTTTAGACCTGGTTTAGACCTGGTTTAGACCTGGTTTAGTCCTGGTTTAGACCTGGTTTAGTCCTGGTTTAGACCTGGTTTAGTCCTGGTTTAGTCCTGGTTTAGTCCTGGTTTACCTGGTTTAGTCCTGGTTTAGTCCTGGTTTAGTCCTGGTTTAGACCTGGTTTAGACCTGGTTTAGTCCTTTAGGTTTAGACCTGGTTTAGTCCTGGTTTAGTCCTGGTTTAGTCCTGGTTTAGTAGACCTGGTTTAGTCCTGGTTTAGTCCTGTTTAGACCTGGTTTTTAGACCTTTAGGTTTATCCTGGTTTAGTCCTGGTTTAGACCTCCTGGTTTTAGTCCTGGTTTAGTCCTGGTTTAGACCTGGTTTAGTCCTGGTGGTTTAGAGTCCTGGTTTAGTCCTGGTTTAGTCCTGGTTTAGACCTGGTTTAGTCCTGGTTTAGACCTGGTTTAGACCTGGTTTAGTCCTGGTTTAGTCCCTGGTTTAGTCCTGGTTTAGACCTGGTTTAGTCCTGGTTTAGTTCTGGTTTAGTCCTGGTTTAGTCCTGGTTTAGACCTGGTTTAGTCCTGGTTTAGACCTGGTTTAGTCCTGGTTTAGACCTGGTTTACACCTGGTTTAGTCCTGGTTTAGACCTGGTTTAGACCTGGTTTAGTCCTGGTTTAGTCCTGGTTTAGTCCTGGTTTAGACCTGGTTTAGTCCTGGTTTAGACCTCCTGGTTTAGTCCTGGTTTAGACCTGGTTTAGTCCTGGTTTAGTCCTGGTTTAGTCCTGGTTTAGTCCTGGTTTAGTCCGGGCTGTAGGAGACTGACTCAAAAACATCAGTTCCTGTGATTTTTAAATTTAAATTTTAGTAAATTTTCGATTCATCCTGGAGCCCGAGAGTGTGGTTTGCATGTTCTCTCTGTGTGTGTGTGTATATTTTGCATGCTCTGTGTGTGTGTGTAGCTTGTGCTGCGTGTTCTCCCTGTGCATGTTTGTTTCTGTGGAGTTTGCGTGTTCTACCTGTGTGTTTGTTTGTGTGGTTTCTATAGTTTGCGTGTTCTACCTGTGTGTGTTTGTCTCTGTGGAGTTTGCGTGTTCTACCTGTGTGTGTTTCTATAATTTGCGTGTTCTACCTGTGGTGTCTTGTTTGCGTGTTCTACTGTGTGTGTTTGTTTCTGTGGGAGTTTGCTGTTCTGTGTGTGTGTTTCTGTACCTGTTGTGCTATGTGTGTGTCGTTTAGTTTGCTATGTTCTGTTCTCTGTGTGTTCGTGTTCTACCTGTGTGTGTGTCTGTGTTCTATGTGTCTGTTTGCTGTTTGAGTTTGCGTGTTCTACCTGTGTGATCTGTGTTTCTGTGTGTGTGTCTATTTGCGTGTTCTATGTGTCTTTGTGTTTACCTGTGTGTGTTGTTCTACCTGTGTGTGTTTCTATAGTTTGCGTGTTCTCTCTGTGTCTCTGCATGATCTCTCTGTGCATGTGTGTGTAGTTTGCATGTTCTGTGTGTGTGTTTCTGTACAGTTTGTGTGCTCTATGTGTGTGTCTGTGTAGTTTGCGTGTTCTCTCTGTGTCTCTGCGTGTTCTACAGATTCTGTGTGCATGTTCTGCGTGTGTTTGACCTTCTCCAGGCTGCGGAGTTGACTCTGTCGTTCTTTCAGTTTCTGGATGCTGATGACGATTTTGTGTCTCGCGCCTTTGGTCACTTTCTGAAAAAAAAATAAAAAAAATACACAAAACCAAACGTCAGCACCACAAAAAACACACACCAAATATTTACACACAAAAACACACACCAAATATTTACACACAAAAACACACACCACAATATTTACACACAAAAAACACACACAAAAAACACACACCACAATATTTACACACAAAAAACACACACCAAATATTTACACACAAAAACACACACCACAATATTTACACACAAAAAACACACAAAAACACCACAATATTTACACACAAAAACACACACACACACATATTTACACACAAAAACACACACCACAATATTTACACACACTAAAAATTTACACACAAAAAACACACACAATATTTACCACAATATTTACACACAAAAACACACACCACAATATTTACACACAAAAAACACACACCAAATATTTACACACAAAAACACACACCACAATATTTACACACAAAAACACACACCACAATATTTACACACAAAAAACACACACCAAATATTTACACACAAAAAACACACACCAAATATTTACACACACAAAAACACACACACACAATATTACACACACAAACACACACAAATATTTACACACAAAAAACACACACCAATATTTACACACAAAAACACACACCACAATATTTACACACAAAAAACACACACCAAATATTTACACACACACACAAAAAAAAGAAATTAATCTCTAATTTAACAGCAGAATTTTCCTGCAGTTTATTTTTTATATTTTTTCGTTTGTTTAACAGATTTTTTTTATTATTTTATCCAAGAAAAAAAAACTTTCAGAAACAGGAAACTCCTCCATCAAAATAAAACAGGCTCATCAAAATAAAAGTCCCCCGAGTCAGATCTGTGGACGGGAGATCGTCAGAACAGAAACACGAACAGAAACAAACTCAGGCTGGAAACTTTTTTTTTTTTTTTATTAGACGAGTGAAAAGATGATTTCTGTTTTTATTTTACACTGAGAATTTAATTTTTTATTTCATTTTAAAAGTTTTACCCACATAAAATTGAAATCTACGACTGGAGTCTCAGAACAGAAGTGTGTCTCACTGTCCTCTTCATCATCATCATCATCATCATCATCATCACCCCGATTCTACTGGACCAAGACCAAGACCAAGACCAAGACCAAGACCAAGACCAGACTGAGACCACAGGGCCCCAAGACCAGGACAAGACTTTTAAAGGTCAAGAGTCTTCAAGACCGAGACAAGACCGAGTCCAAGTCTCTTCAAGACCGAGACAAGACCGAGACAAGACCGAGTCCAAGTCTCTTCAAGACCGAGACAAGACCGAGAGAAGACCGAGACAAGACCGAGTCCAAGTCTCTTCAAGACCGAGATAAGACTGAGTCCAAGACTGTACTACAACACTACCCTATTCTGTCCCTCTGTCCTCTGTCCTCTGTCCTCTGTCCTCTGTGTCCTCTGTCCTCTGTCCTCTGTGGTCTCTGTGTCCTCTGTCCTCTGTCCTCTGTGTCCTCTGTGGTCTCTGTGTCCTGTGTCTCTGTCCTCTGTCC